CACATGACCTTCCAGTACCAGTTCAGGGCGCGTCCGGTCATGGCCTTGAACTCGCTTTCAAATCTGATGGGAGAGTGGGGAGAGAAAGTCTGGATTACCCGTGCTCTTGGAGGCAGGCGGTCCAGGCCACGGAGCCCTCTGTGCGTAGGAAGCTGCTGTGCCTGGCACCAGTGGTGCTTGGACACGGCCCTGGGGCCGGCCTCCAAGTGGAGGCCACTAATGCAGACAGGAGGGCAGCGCCCAGCGCTGGCGGGCACAGAGGGCCTGGTGAGACTCCGTGAAGCCGGCCTCATCCCCGGGGACCCCGAGGGCAGCCCTGTTGTCTGTCAGCAGCTGTGGTGCCTGCAGCCCACCACCGTGATCTCCATCCTGTCTGCGAGCGCGCTCTCTGTCTCTTGTAACTTGACTCTTTTACCTGAATTTATAAATAGCATGATAGTATCTGTCTTACAGTAGACTGGAGACTTCTCTGGGATTCTGAAAACTACACTGGAGAAAGTGCTGGGAGCGTGGCCTTCGTGGGTGCATCTCCCGCGCCGTTGTCAGGCGGCGCCTCCTACCTGCTCAGTCCGTACACGTAGCACAGGGCAACCGTTTCCACCAGGACAATGAGCAGCAGGGACAGAGTGGCAGCGTAGTCGTTGAAGATGTCGAACCAGTAGCTGCCGGCCTCCATGGTGAACACCATGCCGATGGCGCAGTTGGTGAGGCACACCAGACCTGGGACCACAAGACCCCTGCTCACCCACCTGCGACCGCACCTATTCACCCAGCTTCCCATGGGGCCGAGGCGGCGGGAGGCGTGTCAGTAGGACTTCTGACACTCGTTCACGGAGGGGTTTAGCAGCGGACACCCGACTCAGTGTGAAAGGTAAAACTGGGGGCACTGCTGTCTAAGTGATGTCACCCGGGCTGTTGGTCTGCTTATGTTGTTTATCCCAACAACTCCAGCTTGTGGGAGGTGAATTGGGGGGAGGAGAGTTGAGCTGCAGGACCCCCAGTGGAGGACTGACATCTGACCCGGAGAGAGAGGGGTAGGGAGGGAGAGAGGAAACAAATGCTGACCCAGATCCCACGGCGCCTTTGGCATTTGTCCCCCACTGGCTCCTGAAGGCTGTGAGTCAGGTAGCAGGAGCCGAGCCCCCTTTTATAGGGTGGGGGGAGCCACGGCTCAGCGATGTCGGGTAACTTTCCCAACATCACACAGCACGACAAGAAGCAGTGATGGAATTCGGACACCCCCCCAAAAAAAAGTATGAGACCCTAACGCTCCCCCCTTCGCTGTCCACTGCCACCCGCCATGAGCCCCGTGAGGGGAGAGCAGGCTGTGAGCCGTCAGGGACCTGTAGGCACACAGTGCCAGCTCCTGAGAGGAGAGACGCTGGCAGGCGCTGCCGGGAGCAGGGTTGGACTGGGGCTGGAGGGCTGTTGTGCATGTGTTGGAATGGTGTCATCAGAGGCAGGGCTTGGGGGTTCCTCCAGACACTGTGGGTTGGAGTGGAGCAGGTGGGTGGTGAGTGAAGTGGAGAGGCATGCTTGTCCACCAAGAGCAGAATGGGCAGATACGTTGTGTATGGGCTATCAGTGGATTTTTTCACAGACAGAAGAGAGATAGATGATTGCCACTTGCCACCAGAGTGTATGGATGTGAGAGCTGGACTACAAGGAAAGCTGAGCACTGAAGAATTGATGCTTCTGAACTGTGGTGTTGGAGAAGACTCTTGAGAGTCCCTTGGACTGCAAGGAGATCCAACCAGTCCATCCTAAAGGAGATTAGTCCTGGGTGTTCATTGGCAGGACTGATGCTGAAGCTGAAACTCCAATACTTTGGCCAGCTGATGAGAAGAGCTGACTCACTGGAAAAGACCCTGATGCTGGGAAAGATTGAAGGCAGGAGGAGAAGGGGACGACAGAGGATCAGATGGTTGGATGGCATCACCGACTCAATGGAGATGAGTTTGAGTAAACTCCAGGAGTTGGTGGACAGGGAAGCCAGGCGTGCTGCAGTCCAATGGGGTCACAAAGAGTCGACTGAACTGAACTGAACCAGAGTGGATTTCACAGACTGAGTTTGAATGACGGCCACAGACAGACAGGGTAAGTACAGTGTGACTTAACTGATGTGCAGTTTGAGAGCAGGAACAACCTCAGATGGTAGCGTTCAGAGCAGAGGTGGCTGCTGGGGCAGGGGCGTGCTGACTGGACAGCAGCGGGAGGGGGCTCTTGGGTGAGAGAGAGGCTCTGTACCTTGACTCGGTGGTGGTTCACTGAGAGTGTCTTTAAGAAATGTACAGATTGTCATGGTTATTCTTAGGTCAGCACAGACAATAAAGCAGGCTCTCTGAATGCCTGGAGAGCTTGGAGGGCCATGTTGGGGAATCTGGCCTTTGCTGAAGGTTGGGGTGACCACCTGACTTCCCCATGATGTGGGGTGAATTACATACCCAGAGTGCCTGAGAGCGCCATGGCAGGACTCCCAAGAGGATGCAGCCGTGACTCGGGGAGTAGGTGAGTCCTCAGGACAGAGCCTCTGCTCGGCTGCACACGCCCCACCGCCTTGGTGCCTGGCCCACTCACCGGAGATGGCCTCCTTGGGCAGGTAGCTGGAGATGAGCTTGCTGTCCATCAGCGGGGTGAGGATGGCGGCCGTGTTGCCCAGCATGCTCCCAACGCCCAGCAGCAGCAGCATGAAGAAGTAGAGCACGGACCACAGCTGGGACACCTCCATGTTCTTAATGGCCTCCGTGTAGACGATGAAAGCCAGGCCAGTGCCTTGAACAGCCTGTGTGAGGTAGGAACACACAGTTACACACCCAGGGAAGTTAGGACTCCCTCAGCACAGCCACTGCTGAGGTGCTTGGGGCACCTTTAAATCAGCGAGGAGACCCCACATTCTGAGGTTGCATCATCCATCTACACGCCAGCACCTGAGGTTGCCCTGGGCTAGAGAGAAATGTCACTTGCCAAGACCTCACACCTGACTCTTAACTACTTCAAACACTGAGTGGACTCTTTCTACCCAAACTTACATCATTCTCTACTAATAAAGCATTAACAGCTTGGAATTATTGTTGCTTCCTAATCAGGACTGAGGAGGTGACCTGGGAGTTGAGATGGTGAAGGCACAGCTGAGAAGACACAAGAGCATACAGAAGCAGGTGAAGAAAAATCACTGCAGGCGTTATGTAAAGATGAATCCAGTTCCTATTGAACTCAAACATGACACAGTAAACTACGATACTGCAAGAGATTAAAAACATATATATGGAATTTAGAAAGATGGTAACGATAACCCTATATGCAAAACAGAAAAAGAGACTCAGATGTATAGAACAGACTTGTGGACTCTGGGAGAAGGCGAGGGTGGGATGTTTCAAGAGAACAGCATTGAAACATGTATATTATCTAGGGTGAAACAGATCACCAGCCCAGGTTGGGTGCATGAGACAAGTGCTCGGGCCTGGTGCACTGGGAAGACCCAGAGGGATCGGGTGGAGAGGGAGGTGGGAGGGGGGACCGGGATGGGGAATACATGTAAATCCATGGCTAATTCATTTCAATGTATGACAAAAACTACTGTAATGATGTAAAGTAATTAGCCTCCAACTAATAAAAATAAATGGAAAAAAAAATTTATATAATATATTAAAAAAAAAAAAAAGTATCCTTTTTGAAATCAGGCTTAACTGATTAAGCCTAGGGTATATCCTAGCACCTGAGGTGCCTGGGATTCCTTGATGGAAAGTCATGAGTTCCTGTGAGGAAGGTAGGAGCTGACAGCTTTCCAAGGAGACCTGTAGTTCCTAGTATCCCCTAGATGGGAACCCAATCTGTATTTCCAAATGAGCCTTCCTGCAGATACACCAGACCTCCCACAGCTAAAGGATGGTGAATCCCGGGGCAGAGCAAGTTAGAAAGTCACCCAGTCTTCATGGCTCCTGGAGCAGAGGCCCCTTTGCCCTCCTTCTTAGAATTCGTGAACTACATGACACTGGTGCAGGGCTTGAAATTGGTTTAGAACTTCATGGGGAAAGGAAAATGAGGCCCACCTTGGGTGTCTATTCAGGCACTCTCGACGTAACGGACATCCCAGGGACAAGGCTTTTTCCCAGACTCCGGTTGCCCTGGTGAGCAGAGTGGGGATGAAGAAGTGCTGCCTCCTTGTGGCCGTTTCCACGAACAGCAGCCTGGAACGCTATCCTGGGTACCTAATGTGCACAAGGCTCGAGGGGCTGTGAGGGACGAAAACGTTGGCTAGGGCCAACTGGGGACAAGCCTGCGCCAAAGCGTGAAGAAGGGTGAACGTGTGTTTTTCTTTTTAAAGCCCCTGAAAAGATGCCCAGTATCTCCAGTGCTTAGAGAAAGGCAGATGAAATCTACAACGAAGTATTCCTGGCACCTGTCATCAAAGAGACGACACAGATGGGGAGGGTGTGGAGAAAAGTGACTGAAGGAAGGTACCTGTGGGAAGCAGAGTGGCTCACAGCCAGAATGCAGAGAAGTGACGAGGCCCTTAGGAAAGGAAAGGTGCAGCTCCCTAAAGCTCCAGCCGTCCCACCCCTGCTTGCATGTGGGGAGAGGAAACCATCGTTTGAAAACACACACGTACACACTCCATTGACCTTTGCCCATCCACCTGCAGTGGGCAAGGCATGGAAACTGTGAAAATGCCCAGTGACAGAAGAAAGGGTAAAGACGACAGGCCTCATATAAACAACGGACTGCTACTCAGACAGAAAAGCAAACGACAGCACAGGCCTGACGCCAGTGTGGACGGACCCGGACAGGATCTTACTACCTAAAGTAGGTCAGACAGAGAGCCCAAGCACATACGGTACCACTTACAGGTGGACACTCTGAAAGAATGGAACTAACACACCAAGGAAATGGAAACAGCCAGCTTCAGGAAAGAAACTCTATTCCTAACACGGCTAATGTGGAGGGTGGAGAGGGGAATGAGGAGGTGGGATTCACCCGTACTCAGTGAGGTGTGTGTGTGTGTGTGTGTGTGTGTATATGTTATGTATATATCTGTATCTTAAATAGACAGTAAACGAGGGCCTACTGTAGTGCCGGATAACTACTCACTCACAATTACTATGGCCCAAAATCCAAAGATAATATGGTCCTTGTATATGTGATACTGAGTCTAGTTACTGATGATCTCAACATGACACTGTTAGTTAATTGTACTCTAGGAGATGATGATAAGTGAATTACTTTAGAAATACCTCCTCTTTTCCATTCAGGAATACACAATTCAAGATGGGGTCATATCCTGGAACCAGAAGTGGCCATGACTCCTCAAAAAAAAGTCGATTCCCCTAAGTGGGGAGAAAGTTGACAACTTTCCATGGAGGCCACAGCAGACCTTAAGTGCTTGGTAAGCCCCGGATGGGATCCAATCAGATGAGCCTTCCTGCAGGTACACCAAACTTCCTATGGCTAAAGAGTGGTGTATCCCAGGGCAGAGTGAGTTAAAAACTCACCCAGTCTTCTGGAGCAGAGGTACTTTGACCTCTTTCTTAAGAGTTCCGCATGCCACTGGTGCAGGCCTTGGAATCGGTCTAGAACTTCCAAGGGGCAAAGAGAAATGACACCCACCTTGGGTGTCTCTTCTGGCTCTCTTGACCTGATTGACATCCCAGGAGCAAGGCTTTCTCCCAGACCCTGGTTGCCTGGGAGACCAGAGTGGGGATGAAGTAGTGCAGCTGCCTTTATGAACGGCAGCCTCCAGGGGCTGTGAGTGGCCACAGCTCCCAAGAAATCTACTGCAGGAGGTGAGCCCATAAAAAGTCAACTGGGACAAAGTGGCAATAAGCCAGCATCAAAGGGTGAAGTAGAGTGAACTTGTGTGGTTTTTTTTTTCTTTTTTAGGTCCCTGAAAAGATGCCCAGTATCTCCAGTGCTTAAGAGAGAGGCAGGTGAAATCTCAAATGAAGTATCTTCTGGCACCTGTCCTCAAAGAGACGACACAGAATATCTGATGGGGAGGGTGTGGAGAAAAGTGACTCCGAGGAAGGTATTTGTGGAAAGCTGAGTGGCTCACAGCCAGTATGCAGAGAAGTGACGAGGTCCTTAGGAAAGGAAAGGTGCAGCTCCCTAAAGCTCCGGCAGTCCCACTCCTGCTTGCATGTGGGGAAAGAAAACCATCCTTCGAAACACACACGTACACGCTCATTTGGCCTTTGCCCATCTTACCTGCAACAGGCAAGGCATGGAAACTATGAAAATGCCCGGCAACAGAAGAAAGGGTAAAGAAGACGGGCCTCACATAAACAACAGACTGCTACTCAGGCAGAAAAAAACCAAGCACACATGATATCACATATACATGGACACCCAGATAGCACTGAACTCACACACCAAAAAAATGTCAAACTGTTTTCAAAGGGGCAAGATGGGGAGGGTGGAGAGGGAAACTACAAGCTCGAAGTTCACAGCTCCACACCGATACACATGTATTTGTATATATATTTAAGATAGATGATTTAGGAGACCCTACAGTGGAACACAGACAACTCTTTTCACTCTGCAAATAACTGTCCCAAAGAATCCAAGCAACAGTCATTCCATGTACATTTGAACCTGAGTCCAGTTCCCATTCAACTCATACACGATTCTGTATATTAATCATAATCCAGGAGAAAATAAAACTTGACTTCACTTTAGAGATGCCTCCTCTTTTCCGTTCAGGCCTGGCTGGGCTGGGGTCATACCTTGGAGCCCTGAGGTAGCTTGGATCTCAAGTTTGACAGTGGTTGTTTCTAGGATCAACCACCTTAAAACCTACGTTGAGATTGAAGTCACTCAGTCGTGTCCGACTCTTTGCAACCTTGTGGACTGTAAAACCTATGTTTCTGGGTGCTTAATAAGCAAAAGGCTTGAAGGGTGTGAAAGACCACAGCTCTCATGAAGTTCTGTAGGAGGTCACGGAAGAAAAATTCATAGAAGAGTCTGCTTGCCACATGCCAATTTCAAAAGAAGAAAGTTCACTTAACCTGTGTTTTTCTTTTTAAAGCAGCTGAGAAGATGCTCAGCATCTCCACTGCTTAGAGAAATGCAAATGAAATCTACAACAAGGTATCTCTGACATAAATCATCAAAAATCCTACAAACAATACATGATGGAGAGGGCCTGGAGAAAAGGTACCCTGAGCAAGGTATTTGTAGAAAGCTAAATTGCTCAGAGCCAGTATAGAGAGAAGTAGAGAAGCTATTTGAGAAAAAACTACAGCTCTGTACATTTGGCCATGCACTCCTACTTTTATGTCCAAAGAGAAGATCAGCAGTGAAAAATCACACACTCCCTCCCTTGGCCTTTTCCCATCTACCTACAACGGGCAAGGCATGCAAGCTATTGTCCAGCGATAGTGGAACAAACAAAGATGATGTATGTATACACCTTATACAAAGAAGACACCATGTGTACAACAGACTATTACTCAGAAAACCAAATTGCAACACACCATTGACAACAGTATGCATGGACCCAGAGAAGACCTCACTAACTCAAGTAGGTCAGACAGAGGAAGACCAAGCTGATGAAATCACTTCTAGGTGGAAACTAGAACCAAACTGAAATAATTCACAGGGAAATGTAAACACTCACCCTCAGACAAAAAATTCAGAGTTTCTGGTGGAGCATGATGGCGAGGTTGGAGAGAAAAATAATGAGGTTACCCTGAACTGGTACACGCTAATGTAAATAGACAATTAATGAGGCCCTACTGCATAGCACAGACAACTCTACTCACTCTACAAACACTGTCACAAGAGAATCAAAAGAAAAATCGGTCCTTGTTTATGTGAACTTGAATCCAGGTCCTACTGAACTCAAAGACAGTACTGTAAATTGAGCATACTCCAGGAGAGAATAAAAATTCAATGTAAGAACGCTGCCTCTGTTTCACTCAGGCCTAAGTGATTCTGGTTGGGCTCATCTCATGGAATGCCGAGGTGGCTTGGATCCCTATTTTGACAGTCATGAGCCCCGGTGACCGAGGGGAGAATGGGACAGCCAGCATACAAGCCACCTGGACCTGTAGCGCCTGCTTGCCGGGAGCCAACACACGAGACCCTACCCCTAAAAAGGCCATAAGGGAGAAAACCTGACAGGCAAGGCGGATCAGGTTTTCAGGGGTTTCGAAAAGCTGCCCCCGGCGCTCACCTTAAAGATGATATCTGTCTGTCTGACGCCTGCCTCAATGGACTACTCCCTAATTTCTGTGACACAGGCAGGCCTTCCCCTATCTCTTCCCAAATAAGAATAATTTAGAACTTTAATCAATAAGTTTCCCAGGTGGTGGTATTTTATGAGATTATTCAGGGTGAAAGGAGTGTTTTAATTTAAACTCCTTTGCTGGTAGTTTGTTAGCCAAACGCATTTATGCCCTTGGTACTAATATGCATGATGCTTATAATATCCTAATCATAAAATAGCATAAAGAACCTGATTATATAAAAGCCCTAACAGATATAGAGCCCTTTTAAGGGGTAAAGGAGTCCTATTAGAAAACATAAGAAAAATTATTCTATAGGTGGTTATTAGGTTCTGATTTGCTTGCTATGTTTTTGCTTGCTGTATTTTTGCCTTTAATGTGCTAAGGTTGTGTTATAAAAACCATTGTTAATATAGTTAAAGATCTAGAGAAATAAGAACTTAGCCCTAGTGTGGTTGTTAATTGTCAGTCAGGAGTGCTAGGCAGAAGCTGTCTCACCAAAGTCGCATAGTCAGTATGGGGTAAACTTCTTAGATAGACGCAACTGAATTTTGCAGAAAGATTAATTTTTGTATTAACAAGAATATAATTCTACTCTGTACTATTTCCCTATGACACTTGTTCCCTTTCAGTTAAGGTCACCATAAAAACGGAAAATAGGTTTACAATCACCTGACCTGCATAAAATGTTAATAGCCCCAAGGCCAGAAGATCATGTGCTAAGAATTACTATAGAATTAGAAAGCAAAAAAAATCCTTCTTTTCCTAAAAATCAAAATGATGTAATGCTAATCCTGTGTGATCATGAGTAAGCATCTTGTACCTTGAAAATGTTCTGTGAAAGGGTATAAAACCGGTTGTCAAAAAGTAAAACACAGACTTGGCCCTATCAAGGCTAGTCTCACGTGTCTTCTCTCTCTCACCAACGCCGTTCATCCTGAGGGTACCCCCTGGATCCTGCCGAGGCTGGACCCCGGCACCTGCTCTCCTCTGGATGGGACCCTGATCTCTAAATATAGTCGAGCCATTCTACAGTAAACCATGAGCCATCCTACAGGTAAACCAAGTCTCATACAGCTAAAGGGTGGTGGACTTCCTGGGCAAGGAGAGCAAGCCCCCCAGTCTTCATGGCTTCTGGTGAATAGGTACCTCTAGCCTCTTTCCTTACAGTCCCTCAGTTGCATACCACCAGCGCAGGTGTTGGGATCTGCCTAGAAGTTCACGGAGCCAGGAGAAATGAGACACTAGCCCTTGGGTGTCTGTTAGGGCGCTTTCCACCTGATTGACAAGCAAGAAACAGGAAGGTCTCCAGACTCTGGTACCTAGGTTACCAGAGAGCTGACGCAGAAGTGCTGCCGCCTTGTGGCCGTTTTTAGGAGCAACAGCCTTAAAACCCTGTGCTTCTGGGTCCTTAATATGCAAAAAGGCTTCAGGGGCTGTGAAAGACCACATAGCTCTCAAGAAATTTTCTGCATGAGGTAATCGAAGACAAATTCAAAAATGGGCCAACCTGTGACAAACCAAGGGGAAAATTCACTCAACCTGTGTTTTCCTTTTTAAACCCCCTGGGGGCGCGGGGGTGGGGGGAGGCATCTCGAGTGCTTAGAGAAATGCAAATGAAACCTACAAGGAGGTATCTCCTGGCACCAGTCATTAAAGAGACTACACAGAATATATGATGGAGGGGGCCTGGAGAGAAGGGACCCTGTGCAGTGTATACGTGGAAAGGTAAACTCAGAGCCAGTATGGAGAGAAGCAGAGAAGGTCCTTAGGAAGGAAAGGTGCAGCTCCCCGAAGATCTGGCAGTGCCACTCCTGCCTGTCCGTCCAAAGAGAAAACCATCGACAGCAATCACACATGGAGTCCACGGCTTTTCCCATCTACCTACAGCAAGCATGTGAACTCCCCATCTGTCCACCGACAGAATAAACATAAGACGTGCACCATCCATAGATGGACTATACTCAGCTCAAAGAATGAAATCTCTATTTACAGCAACATGGATGGAACCGGAGATGATCATACTAGTCAAGTTTGCCAGATAATAAGCATTACATGACACCATTTATAGATGTCACTTTAAAATGGGTACCAGGGGGGTGGTCCTAAGGTGGCGGAGGAATAGGACAGGGAGACCACTTTCTCCCCCACAAATTCATCAAAAGAAACAATTTGAACGCTGAGCAAATTCCACAAAGCAACTTCTGAACGCTGGCAGAGGACATCAGGCACCCAGAATGGCAGCCCATTGTCTTCAAAAGGAGGTAGGACAAAATACAAAAGATAAAAAGACAAAAGAGGCAGGGATGGAGATCCGTCCCAGGAAGGGAGAGGTTTCCAAACACCAGGAAACACTCTCACTGGCGGGTCTGTGGGGAATCTTGGAATCTCAGAGAGCAACATAACCAGGAGGCTAAATAAATAAAGCCCACAGATTACGTGCCTAACGGCAACTCCCAGCGCTCAGCCGCCACCAGCAAGCAGGGGCTGAACAGGGGGGGGAGTGGGCAGCATTGCTTAGGGTAAGGACAGGGCCCGAATGCCCTGAGGGCAATCTGGGGGAACTAATGTGAGTAATGCGAGATAGCAACCCAAACTGTGGGATAGCCGGGGGTGGGGAACGGACGCTGAAAGAGAGGGCTATCCCGTGAAAAGCCCTAACCTGAGGCACTGCCAGGCCCACTCACAGAACAAAGGACTGAGGAATACCAGAGGAGAGCTACCCTGCTGTGGACCGGCCCTTCCCCACTGGGACAAGCAGGCGGGGTGCAGCCAGAGCCGGAAAGGGGCAAATTGCGGCCCCCGAGAGGCATCCTCTACCAAACTGCAAGCAGGCTCCATTGCTAACCAAGAGTTCTTGGGATTCTGGACTGTTGACATCCTCCGGGAGGGTCGCAGCCAGAGATCAGCCCCCCGGAAGAGACTCACGGCACACCTGAGAAGGTGTGCCTACTGGACACCCAGAAAACCGAGCGGCTGGGACGGGGGAGGCGATCAGACGCACCCCCTGCCTGGGGGTGACCGCGCTCCCCAAGCACCTGGTCTCCTGAGCTGCTCCGACCTGGGAAGGGCCCAAAATGCAGGCCCAACCGAGTCTGCGCCTTTGTGGAGTACCCGAGAACCTGAGCGGCTTAGACCTGGAAAGGGCACGCAACCAGGGCCCGCCTTAGACAGTTTCCCGGCGGAGCAACTGGAGCTTGAGAAGAGCAGACCATGAAAGCACACGCCGTGAAGGGGGGCAAACCCAGTGCGACTGAGACGCTGCGAGCGCTCCCCACACGCGCCGGGGATATTTGTTAGCAGTGTTCCTCCTCCCCACAGCACGGCTCAACAAGTGAGCCTAAATAAGTGACCACCTTCGCCCCCTTGTGTCAGGGCGGAAATTAAACACTGAAGAGTCCAGCAAGCAGAAGCTAAGATAAACAGAGGGAACCGCTTTGGAAGTGACAGGTCAACAGATTAAAACCCTGTAGTTAGCACCGACTACATTGGAAGGGCCTATAGATCTTGAGAAGTAAAAGCCGACCAAGGGACTATCTGAAACTGAACTGATCCCACACTGTCCACAACAGCTCCAGAGAAATTCCTGGATATTTTTTTACTATTACAATTTTTAATTTTTTTTCTATTTTTAAGTCCTCTATTACTCCTTTAATTTTCATTTTTATAATCTACTATTACTTTGCCAAAAAGACCCTATTTTTAAAGCAAATTTCATATATATATTTTATAATTTTTGTGACTTTGTTTTGTTACTATTGTATTTTTGAGAGTCTAACCTCTATTTTTAATCTTTGCTTTTTGGTATTTGTTACCAGTTTTGTACCTTTAAGAACCCAGTCTTCAGTACCTATTTTTACTTGGGAGCGAGATCACTGGCCTGACTGCTCTCTCCCCCATTTGACCCTCCCTTACCTCCACCAGGTCGCCTCTATCTGCCCCCCCCACCCCTTCTCTTCTCTACCCAACTCTGTGAGTCTCTGTGTGTTCCAGGCTGTGGAGAACACTGAGGGAACTGATTACTGGCTGGATCTGTCTCTCCTTTTGATTCCCCCTTTTATCCTCCTGGCCACCTCTGTCTCCTTCCTCCCTCTTCTCCTCTCTGTGTAACCCCGTGAACATCTCTGAGGGGTCCAGACTGTGGAGAGCACACAGGGAAGTGATTACTGGCTACACTGCTCTCTTTTGATTCCCCCTCTTCTCCTCGGCACCTCTCTCCCCCTCCTCCCTCTTCTCTTCTCCCTGTAACTCTGTGAACCTCTCCAGGCGTCCCTCACTGTGGAGAATCTTCTCATCATTAACCTAGATGTTTTATCATCAGTGCTGTATGGATGGAGAAGTCTTGAGGCTACTGTAAGAATAAGACTGAAATCCAGAGGCAGGAGGCTTAAGCCCAAAACTTGAGAACACCAGAGAACTCCTGACTTCAGGGAACATTAATCGATAAGAGATCATCCAAAAGCCTCCATGCCTACACTGAAACCAAGCACCACCCAAGGGCCAACAAGCTCCAGAGCAAGACATATCATGCAAATTCTCCAACAACACAGGAACATAGCCCTGAACTTTAATATACAGGCTGCCCAAAGTCACACCAAACCCACTGACATCTCAAAACTCAATACTGGACACTTCATTGCATTCCAGAGAGAAGAAATCCAGCTCCACCCA